GATGTTTTTCAAACATTCGCTCTAATATCTTATTTCTCTTTAGGAATACTTACAGAAGGTGCCCAGAATGGATTTATGGGAAATGGTTTTAATTTGCTTACCTGTCACCACTTATATAAAGTCACATTATATATTCAAATCATATACAGTATCTTGACTGAATATGATTAACATCCTAAAGCATATATTTTAACTACAATTTTCATAAATTGAACATTTTTGTATGTTCCCAAACTCAAATCACAGTCCATCTGGAATAACAATTATTGAGACTTAATGTTATTATACTTAATGTGGATTCGAATCCACCTGGTGGCCCTTGCGCGTCATCTCCATCTCTCTGTCCCTTCCTGTCTATTCTCCCAGCTGTACTCTGGCATTAAAGGCCAAAAAAAAATATCAATACATTTCTACCTTCTTAACTTGAGTAGAGGGAACATTACCTTGACTCTCATGGATATTGATATACCCATATTATTTTTAAGTAAACAATTGTCAAGATATATGCGGTTGAAAAGTATGACAATCCTGGTGAAATATTTAAAACTCGTTTTTGGTTTATGGACCTCTGAACATTTAAACACAGTGCTAAATCCCAAAATAACTCCAACAGACTGCACTTGTTATTATTAGCCAGGTTTCATTGGGTTATCCCCTATATTAAAACAGTATAATAAAGCATAAAAATAAATGACAATAAACACACCATTAACAATTACGTTTTGATTTAGAGTAAAACAGAAGCATTCGAAGGATACCCTGCAGGCTACAGTCTTACAGGACACCAAATTTATGACAGTACTGTATTACTGTACTCACCTACCACAAAGATATGCCAAATGGTGCTGAATAAAATATGTTTTGAAAAAACCTGTAATTTAAGTGTTGCACAACTGTTACATGTAAATATCAAATACATAGGATGTTCTGGAAGTCAACGTACTTTAAGTGTTTCAATCAAACTTTTGGACAGTATATTTAAGGGTTTCCTGTGATTTGACGGATTGGTACTGTACCAGGGACTATCCTGATATTCTGGGCGGCTGTGCTAACCGGAAGGTTGTGTTTCCCGGCTCCTCCCGCCAACATGTCGAAGTTCCTTGAGCAAGATACCAACCCCCAAATTGCTCCAGTGCTGAGCATGGTGTTGTGAATGTGTAGGAATGAGTTAGTTTCTGGTTCGATGGGACCTTGCCTCACTGAGGCTGTGTGAATGTGTGTCAAAAGTGCTTTGAGTGGTCGGAAGACTAGAAAGGCGCTATACAAGTACAGGTACATTTACCATTTACCATATTAATGCATACAGTGTAATGAAGGCTCACTGCAGCAGTGAAATATTTTTTTGGTTTGTTTTCTTTTCATGAACATGAACTTTTTATGATGTGGAATAGCATAGAAATATCATGAATATCTTTAACAGGCTATGCTCTGTGAAATGACATTTCATATACTCAACAGCAGTATGCTTTTACAAACCACTGTCCCTGCTACTGTAGTTTATTTTGCCAAAAAACAAATGCTGTTCACCTCTATTATTATAGTAATGCGGTGGTGGCAAGTCTGAGTAGACAAAATCACACCAGAGAAAACCAAAAATTGTATGGCTAGAGTGGAAATTGCAATATCTTCACAGGTATTGTCTACTGTACATTTTATCAGGATTTATCAGCACAGAGTTAGCCTTGAACAACACAAACACATTCTAAAAATGAAGGAGTGTCACCCTCCCTCCTCCTCCACCCATTCTCATTCCTTTCTCCCTTCTCCTCCTCTCTGAATAGAACAGTGCTATCCTTCCCTCCTCTTTCCACGCATATACATCAACAGCAAGCAAATTAGGTTTAAATTAAATTAAAAACACAGCAGGAAGGCACTGTTATAAGTGTTACATGTACAATATTACATATCATCCACAGGTTACAAGCAAAGCTATGCACAAAACACAGACACTAACTTGGTGTGTGTCAGACTGTACATGTGTGTATCCTTCATTACCTACCTACAGAATGAAGTGAGTCACACCCAGCTCTTCACACAGTAAACCAGTGGTCTGCCTCAGTGCAAAAGCACAGGACCCCCCTCCCATCAAACACACACACATACATACATATATACACACACAGGCACACTCACGAGCGCAGTCCACAGGCTGCAGAAACATGCTGTCACAGCAAATAGACAGCGAGGGAGTGCAGCAAACAACATGGGAGTGCGTGAGAGAGAGAAAGGGAGAGAGACAGCGCAGCAGAGAATATAGGGAGTAGTCACATTTACACAATAACTGAATTGATATAAAACTTTAAGACATTTTTTTAGGCTTTTTTACACAGAGCGTGCCATGTATAATTGGTCAAGTTTTTGCATCCCAAGTATTTACACACAAATTTAAGATAATGTCAAAGGTTATTTAAATACATTTCGTACCCCAAAATGGCCCAGCCTTTTTAGTTAGCAAGTTTTAAGTTTTTAAATTTAAGTTTTGACCCAAGTGTTAGGAGCAGTGGACAGGGACCAACTCCAGTTATAAGTCAGTGCCTTGGTCAAGGCCACTGACAATAGAACCTATACATTTTTGATGGTGTGGAAAACCAGAGCACCAAGAGGCAAGCCACACAATCATAGGGAGAACTGCCAACTCCACACAGAAAAGCCCTGCCACAGCAAAGATACGAACCCAGGACCCAGGGAGATATTTCAGCTATGCAGATATACATGGTTTACAGAGAATGAAGCCTAATGTTTGGTGACCTCTTACCTCTATTCTAGTCCAACCATCAGACCAAAATGGACTTTTATACACAAGAAATATTCAACGCTTGTGGATGGTTCCAATCTATCCCTTAGTAAAGAAGTTTATTGAGCAAAATCACGAGGATGTATTTTTCACTACTGCATAAGCTAGCTATAGGACCACCCTTATGGTCTGGTCAGACCAGAAAATGGCACAAATAGGTGGTGCTGGTGGTTGTGACTAGGGACTTGCAGTGCTAGTTGGTAAGCCATGGCTGATGACCTAAATCTCAACATGTTGAATGACCAGTAATATGCTAAGGCAAGCCAGCAACAATAGGGGAGACTCTTGAGGGACCTCTACAGCAAGGGTGACTAGCTGAGCTAGTGCTTGCGTGCTAATCTACAAGCATTACTGCCTATCACAGTTGAGCAAGCCTTGGTCAGAACCTCTGTAACTTTCTCCTCCTTTCTCCACACACACACACTATATATATATATATATATGTATATATAGCCACAGCTTAAGTTAGCTAACTAGCTAATTAACAATAAAAGTAAATGGGCCGCCCAGATAGCTCAGTGGATAGAGCTGGCGACTCATGTACCGAGGCTGAGTCCTTGCTGCAGCAGCCCAGGGTGCGGCCCTTTGCTGCGTGTCATCCCCTCTCTCTACCCCCCATCGTGTCTGTCTTCAGCTGTAACTATCATAAAGGCAATAAAAACCCCCCAAAAAAGTTAAAAAAAACAAAACGATAAATGTAAATAAACTAGCTAGTTACCTAGCATTTTGTGAACATTAGCTGATGTAACTAGCGAAAGATTGATGTGGATTTGCTAGCTTGTTAGCCAGCGTTTTGCTAGCATTAGCTAGTTTAAGATGTGACTATATGTTGCTTTTAACTTTTGGCCATCTTCGAAATGTGGTTGGAGTAAGCTCTGACTGAGGCTTGCTTTCTTAAAGACCACATTGACTGTAGGTTTGACTCTTTTCAAACGTTGTATTTGTACAATCGATTTCTGTCTCACAGCTGAATACAAAAAAATACAATTATTTTATGAAAAACTTTATACTCCGACAGAGCACCATCCTATAAAGCTGGATTATGAGTCGCAGCTAATATGATTCCTTCATTTTTGGACTCTGGCTCTCCATTATCTCAGAGTACAGCACTGTCAAGATGCTTTGCAATTAGTCAAAGCCTTGAATTCACATGTCAAAGTTCACCAAAGTTGAAGCCTCCATGAGTAATCCACTTATTGAAGCCATTCATTTGCTGGTGTGATCAGGTCTTTGGGACAAACTGTCCAACTTGCACTCAAGATATCGTATACTCTAATAGAAAGACTGCCATGAAATTGGCTGAGCACAGTCGTGCTCCCAAAAGCACAAACCTTTTTGATTTTAATGACCCCATGTCCTTTCCTCTACCAAGCCATTTGAATGTGTAGTGTTAAAGCAGAATTTGATATCATGTAATTAAAGTAGCAGTTTAACTTTGTCAGTAACTTTTTATTTTACGATTATTTTAATAGATCCAGTGAATTTTACTTTGTCTCTCTTTATCTTGGTCTTCTTACACTTGTCAGGAAGTTGACAACTTTGTTCTTAATGTTTTAACTGTAAGCTGTTGTATCTGTGAGGCTACATGACCAAATTTGTGACATTCTGTACTGCAAACTCTGCCCCGATAGTTCCTGGACCATCAAAAAGTACTACGGTAGTGGGACTTTTTGCTGCAAGAAACTATGGCTAAGTAATTAAATTAAGACCCTGGACTCGCAAGATCACAAAATCATGAGCTCGCGCAATGATCCATCTCGCCAGGCTACATTGAAAGAAGAGCAAAGAACTGCACTGAAGACTTTTCTCTGGAAAAATTGCTGATCCTGACTGCTTTCGATAAGAGTTTGACTACGTTATATGATTTGTAGATCTGATTGGTTGAAGTTCGCCTAGGATGGACAGTGAAGTATCTTTGGAAAGTGCCTGCCCACCTGGTGTAGCCAGGGTAGGTTTCCAGTTTTTACCAGTTGGAAAATTGTAAACTCTTTATTAAACTTACTTTTCTTGTCTGGTTTACAACTGTAACTCTGTGAGCGGTGTTAAGTCTGAATCATGGCTGACTGAGGTTTGGTAGTGAGATGTCTCTACACTTCCACCTCGGACTGACTGATAACTGTGCATCAATGTCTACATAGCATTAGTCTGACTGTAATTGGCAATCCTAGAGGGGGATAGAGAGTGAAATTGGATCTGATTCACTCACTGTCCTCTCCTGGGCAGGGCATGCCAGGCCTCTCCGGGATACTGGGGAACACTGCAAATTACAAAAAATAAAAGAAAATCATTCATCATTCCAGTTGGCTGTTTTTCTTCTCCTGTCAACAAGCAGATATGTGAGAAAATTAAAAGCCTAACCCATATGCAATCCAGATGGTGAACACCCTGAATTTACATGATTTCAAGGTCACACAAACGCTTTATACCTAAATATCCTCACCAAAGGTTCACAAAAAAGTCATCAAAATATTAGGAAGTAAAGCCATGAACAAAGGGTTGCAAAAAATTTAAGTGGCTTTACTTTCTCAAATGTTACATGCTTGCTAAGGTATATTGCCATTTACTGGGTTGTTTTTAGTCTTATAAAGTTATGCATTGTGACAAATAGTTTAAAAATGATGGAGCTAACTTACCATGCAGCAGCAGCCCAGACCTCTTAGTCCGATTGTAAATGCGAAATGCCTCCTCCAGCTCCATCTGTGATGAGATGGTGCAAGGGTCCCCTAAAAGAAAAAAAGAAAAAAACACACACAAACATTCTTATCAAAACAGTCATCTAATTCTATCCTGCACATCATCCACTTTACACAAACACATTTGGTCTGGCTAAATGGGGGGAGCATTGGAATATTTCTTATCTTCACCTGCTGTGCTGGCTCAATTTTCAGTCTTTCGTGAAACCAAAGGTGTTTAGAACAAAGCTGGTATTTCAAGGTTTTGATTTTGTCTTGTACACAGAACATATACCAGCAGCAACATTGGTGCACTACCTCAGTCGGTCCACTAGAAAAATTGTGAAAATTATTTTAGTTTTAGTATTATTTCATTCACTAGACGTTAGTGTATTGAGAGAATGTATAAAAATGTACTATTCTGTTTATAGGTTGCACACTCTTCACTGTTCTACGCACTATTTCCTGTTTTACATCTGAATTCTCAGACTGTTTTATTTGAATCATTAATAGAGGCCTGCAGAGATCAAATTATCCAGTAATTTAGAAGAAAGGTAGCCAAGACAAAAAGAAGACTAAAAAAACAAATGTACTTATTTTCTGCTTCCTTGTCCTGTTAAACATCTCACAACCTCTCAGATTTATCTTGGGGTAGTGACACCCAGATGAGGCTGCAAAGTTGAACACGATTCAAAATGTTACACAAACTCAAAATGATTGATTCATATTACTATTAATATTATTTTTGCTGTCTATCCTGGCTGTCGGTGCCTCATCCAGACGTTTGTATCTGGATCTTTGTTCCCCAAGAGATTTCTGCCTCTCCTTTTCTCTCCTCTCTCCCTAGTTTGCATGTGTGCTGTGTGTTGCTCTGTCTCTTAGTAAATGCTGTGCTGTCCCTTTTGTGTTTGTGTGGCCTGTCCTCTTCCAGACCTGAGGTTGCTTAACTTCTTCCTGGATCCATATTCTTCACTTATGTTTTACATATACACTGCCCATCCCAAAAAAAAAAGTCACACACTGTAATATTTCGTTGGACTGCCTTGAGCTTTGAGTACGGCACGCATTCGAGCTGCAGACCGGGAACACCCCACACTCAGAGCGTGGCAGGGTTTGCGGAGAATGCTCTGACCCCAGTCGTCTACGCTTACTCACCAATGTGCGCAGCAGTCAAAGTCCGCTCCCAACGCATCCTCCGGATGGTTGCTGCATCTTCTTCACCTGCTTCTAACACGCACTCAACAAAACTGGTCATCGTTGCTGTGTAATCATAGTCCCCAACCCACGTGACAGAGCCATGGTTAACCAACGGATAGATCAGTGTGTATCACTTCCACCGTGTCAGCTGCTCCACAATCTTAATGCTGATTGGTGTATGTGTAAAATCACACTGGCAGTCCCCAAAAAAAAGTCACAGCCAACGCTGAGATTAAAGTAACGAACAGTTGGTAAGAGCTTCATTTGGGTACATTACTGCAGTGATCAATATGTTGCTCAGCCTTGGCCAACAAGTCTCTGATTCTCAACCGCTAGCTGAATGCGGTGACGTAGCTTCTCATTTCTTAAACACGACCATACAGTCAGAAGACATATCACTGTAGGTCGTGGAGAAAAGGATGTTACATCAGTCTTCAGAAGGGTCAAAATTAATTCGGACTGGGTAGTCTCAAGCAACAGAAAACAACTAAGGACATGGTTTAATAGTGGAGTAAGTATAGAGCATTTCCACACGCACAATGCGCGAAGGGGAAATCGGGATTCGGGATGGAACTTCAAACACGGCTGTGTAGGCCACTAACGAAAACACGTGATCAGCCTGAGTCACCTCCGCGAAAGAAAGGCTTCAATTTGCGTGGAGCGCGACCGCCACCTAAAGAGTTGCGGCACCTTTGCGCCAAGCAACTGGGAGTACGAGCGTCATGGTGGTCCTGGATGCCGAATCCCAGCCATGTGACCCCCTGATTCGGCAGAACGGTGAATCGGGCCACCATCAGGGGTAAACGCAAGAGAGGGAGTGCCATCATAGCTAGTGGCCTAACGCGTTGCAAAAGCTTGGGGCCCAGACTGTTATCAGATCTGGGGGTTGGCTGACAGTGTGGCTCAGGTCTAGGGTTGAGCAACGTTACTGCTCGCCCAAAAGGAATGGGTCAGGGAGCTTGACTCACAACCCTGAAGTATACTGAATGACTAGGTCATTGCTTCCCTAAAGGCTACACAGGGCATGATTCCAAGATGACAATGAAGGCATTTCACGTGCCGGGCTGCGAGATGAGTGACCATGAGTGGATTCAGGGAGCATAAGACGATCCTTCTTGCACGCACACGTGGCCATTGGCCACCACAGGACGCGAGTCCAGCACTCAGACCACCATTGAGAATCTTTGGATGTGGCTGGAGAAGAACTGCGCAGCAAGTGCACACTCTCCCCATCCATCCAAAACAAGACTCCTTGGCCAGGAAAATTAAGTGCCAACTCTGAGACAGAAACAGAATGTTAGTGCAAACATTGTTGCAAGGCTTTATCAAAATCGATCGCCACAGCGTGCCGTACTCAAAGCTCAAGGCCAAGTCCACGACCGAAGATATTACAGGTGGTGACCTTTTTTTTTTTGGGATGGCGCAGTGCTACTCAATGTGAAACATAAGTGAAGAATATGGAACCGATCCCGAAAGGAAGGCAAGCTGATACCAGCAACTCAAGCGTCTGGGCACAGACGACAGGCCGACACAACACAAAACCGGCTGACACGCACAGCATCTTACTGAAGAGCACAGAGGCCAACCACAGCACACACTGACAACTAGGGACGAGACGGGAGAGAAAAAAGGAGAGGCAGAAATCTCTTGGGCGAGACACACACTCCAGATTACAAACCGTCTGGATTGAGGCACAGAACAGCGCAGGATAGACCAGGCAAAAAATAAGTATTAAGTGAGTAATATACGAACAATCATTTTGAGTTTTGCTGGTAGACATTTTGAATCGTGTTCAACTTTGCAGCCTCTCTGGTGTACACTACCCGGC